GGGTGGGGAGGGGGCGTGGTCCATGGGAAATAGTCCTGCCACCACAGCTGGAAAAAAATCCTAGAGGAAACACTGCATGCATTTAATAAAATTAGAAAAATGCATTTACAAAGGTACAAAGAATATGCCCCTGAAGTTACTTTGAGTCAGATGTCAGCTCGTATTAGAAAGGCTAATTCTTGATCAGAAATTATTATTATTATTGATTAGAAGGTGCTCCTAAATTTTTTAAATTAGGAGGACAATTACAAGAAGAAAATGGAATGGGGTTTAGCCGAGGAAAAACTTTCAGTCAAAAGATTTGTCAGTAAAGCCGGTTCTGTGATTAGTAGTAAATCTCCAGCACGTGCTTTCAGATGGAGCAGCATTTACTACACAGAGCCGTAGTTCACTGACAAGCTACGCAAAATTGCGTTCATAATCGCAGACGATTTAATCGCGTGATTATAAAATAGAAGAAATCATTCTGCGATTATGAAAGCTGTTTGCGTAGCTTGTCAATCAACTACGGCTCTGTGTAGTAAATGCTGCTCCATCTGAAAGCAGGAGAAAATACCACATTTAATAACATGTTTTTACTCCAAACTCACTTCATCACGTCAGTCGAGTGTTTGAAATAAATCCTTCTGTGAGATGATGTGGCTTCTTACACAGAATAAGGCACGCAACATATTTCATAGTATTCTAAGCAGTGATAAAGGCTATGTCGATTAGCATTGCATTATTATATACTTTATTATAATAAAAATTATAACAAGATGAACTCAGATAAACCATATATTGTCGTAGTCGTGTGTTTATTAGTCACCTTGAATTAATGAAAGCAGTTAAATCTTCTGTTTATTCAGCAACCACTATAGGAACTTCCTGGGTTTCTTCTGCAAGGCGTATTTGGAGTTTCAGCGCGAGAGCGCCCTCTGGCTTTCGGATGGAGATTTACTTCTGATCACAGAACCGTGCTTCACTGAAAGATACGCATTACAAACACAGCTTCTGCCTAATCATGATTTATACTATTTATTTACTTATTTACTAATAAAGAAGTACTAGTATCTAATGAATAAGTACTAGTATCTAATAAATAAGCACTAGTATCTAATGAATAAGTACTAGTAACTTTACAAAAAACTCTAGTAGCTAAAGAATAAGCACTAGTAGTTAATGAATAAGTACTAGTACTTAATGGAAAAAATACTAGTATCTAAAAAATAAGTACTAGTAACATTAAATTAGATACTAGTGCGGTTTATAGATTAAATGTGAAAACGGCTTGCCATAGTGTATTTAGTGTAGTGTTTGGCCCAAAGTTAGCTCCTCTAACCCACCAGCATGACTGATGACCAGATCTGAGTGTCTCATGTCCTCGGCGATTGAGTCTTTGAAACGAAACACTTTAAGTGTCAGTCCTGGACAGCTGTCTGGATCAGGAACAACTGAGCCTCTGCCAACCTGAAGCACCACGTCTGTGTAGCCACGGTCGATTAATGCCTTCATTCAGAAACATGAAAACAGTAATTAAAGTGAGCCAGGATATATTTAAAACATCACGGCTTATTACTTATAAAACTAGCTCACAAATACCGACAAGTATTTGTGACATTCAGCTTACGTTTCCTTTGCAGTTCTCACCATTTATGAATGACATTCTTACCTTCACGGATTCATCTGAAGTCACAGCGCCAATCAGATCATCAAAACTCGTCGTCCCGACAGTTACGAATACAGTTTTCATTATATCTGAGGGACAGTCTTTACTAAATGTAACAGAAAACATAACAGACGTGAACAAAAATTAAAAAAGAAACGGTGAAGAAAATGTAAGGGTCTCTTAACACTTCATACTTCAAAATAAAAGTCCTGATGGCTTAAAATGGACCTACTGGAGTAATGTGTATGATTTTTACAGAATATAGTGGTATATCAAAGTATTTACTGTTAGCCTTGTCAAAGGTGGGATTTATCTCTAAAATTATCTTTTTTCTCCCCCCCCCCCAACAAATAATAATAATAATAATAAATCTATAAATCTACATGACCCATTCCTACACATATATTACAGTAAACATTGCACTTTTTAAAAAATATGAAAATCTCATTCTATTATAAAAAAAAATCACAATTACTGTAGGTGAACATGGAGAGAACTGTGTTTACACTTTAAATATTTACACATAGAAATATGTCCTTAAACTAAGTCACATAAAAGCTCAAACTGTACTGCATAACTCCAATGACCCACTTAATTAATGGAGCCTTTTATATTAAAAAACAATTCCAGCAACCTTTAGCTTCACAGTCAGGTGCCCTTAAAATTATTTAAATAAATAACAATAAAATTATTATTAAACTGTATAATTACGTTTAAATAAATAAAAACATAGGATTTAAAGTAAATAAATGTAATTATTCCCCCCTTAATAGTTTTGAACATACAGTTCTTGACATTTCTGGAGTCACAAAATAAATTGTGGTGTGGGAGTCTTTGGGTCAAAAATAGCTTTAAAGCTTTTTTTAGCAGTTAATTACAGCTTCAAATGTTCATAAATGTCCTTTGCACAGCTGAATTTGGACCCCTAAACATCTTTTTTTTTCTTTTAATAACTTTCTCTAAATCAGTGGCAGACTGGATAGTAAACTCTGGCTGGGTGACCTATGGACATTCAGAGACTCCAGAAGCCACACTCATGATCACAAGCCTTTGGACAGAGAAGTGGCTCGTCAAGTCACTCAGCCACAGCTATCTGATCAAGTGCTGCAGATGGTCATCTTTCCAGCAGGTTTTCCCATCTCCACACAGAATGTTGCAGCTGTTATACTAGTCATTTTGTTCTTGGCCATCTCCTAGACCACAGGCGGGCAAAAGGATGAAGCTTGGTTGTTTAACATTGTTAAACGTTCTTAAAGGCTCTCTCTTTTTTTGTATTGTTGCCGACTTTTAATAATGCACAATCTTATTTCTTTGTCTTTCCATTACACAAAAATCTCTGCAACAAAGTCCTGAACTTTAGTCAGATGTGCATGACAAAACATTATGTCTTTATGGCATTATCCCTATCCATGTCAAAATGCAAGCAGACTCTTTCTTCAAGCTCATCACAAGATCCTCACATTTCAGACATTGGGTTTCCCTCACAATAAGACAGATTGTTGGGAACTGATAATGGCTGATTTCCAGGCAATTTAAAGGTCATTATCAAAAGCCTATTGTGAGGTATTGCATGCATTGATTTCAAGTTCTTTATTTAGTTGTTTTGGTTTAAATGTCTCAAAAATGTCAATGATAACCAACTTTGGCATTTGTACATTTTATGTGCTTAGTGTTAAAAGCCAAAAGTAACATCTGCAATACTGTGCTGTATGGACCGCTGACAATGTAAGTTTCTATTGAAGCAGTGGTTGGAAACGTGCCCAAAACATATTGTAACTTGTTGGGCACAAATGATATGCAAGAGACATCTTAGAAATGAAATTAAAATACAAGAAAAGAAAGAACTGACTCAACAGGGGTTTCAGCCTGTAATCAATTAAGGCATCATCAATGCTGTACTTCAGAAACAATGCATACTGTAGTCACAAAAAGCCAAAATAGCCAACAGAATATAAAAATGCAATATTTATCTATCTCGGTAATTAAAGAATTTAATAAATAGAGTATTAGGAGAGAAAGCATACATACCAGTAGTTTAAAAAAAAATCAAAAGGGGGAAAAAAAGAAACATTAGATATTGAGGTCTCACACCTGCATAATGGCTGTTACAGCTTAACAATTAGATATCAAACTTAATATGTTAAAAGAAAAAACAGGGAAGATATACAACGGAGCATCTCCAGGGGTATTATAGCCCTGAGTTGACCTGCTCGTCATAACCCTTTTCCCCATATAAGAAAAATAGCTATTAATAGCCCTGTCACAGATATCCCCATTCCCAAAAGTTTTCTGTGCTCCAATTCGCAGACTGGACTTGTTTCCAGGTAACCAAAACATAACTTGAAGATACTGTATATGTGCTCTACAATCCAGACCCGGTGGATCTGAGTTTTGAAGACCCTGCGATGATTTATTTCCGGACAGCAAAGCCAAGCCTCGGCCAGATGTCTTAAGTGTCAGAGTTCAAGGGGCTCAGTGGCACAGGTGTGGCTCAGAGGGTCGTACGATCAGAGATTGGTTCAAGAGAGCGTCCATCTTGATCATGTGTCTAAGAAACACAGAAATGACAAATGTGCTGTAGTCACAAGAAAAAAACTAAACAAAAAAAAAAAACACATATCCAAGAGTGGGCGTGGCCATTTGTAACTTTAATGTGCTTGGGCTTCAATCGTTTCCTGTTACGTTAGCTGTATAAAACACTTTGTTATTCTGCTTGATATTGCAAACTGGTATTTCTTATTATTTTAAATTCTTGTCATCATTCTTAAAGGGATAGTTCACCCAAAAAAAGAAAATTGACAATTTATTCACTCTTCAGTTGTTTGAAACTTGTATGAGTTTATTTCTCCTGTTGAAAACAAAAGACAATATTTTAAAGAATGTTGGTAGCCAAACAGTTGCTGGTAGTCATTGACTTCCATTGTATGAAAAAAACAAACAAAATGGAAGTCACTGGCTACCAGCAACTGTTTGGCTACCAACATTCTTCGAAATATCGTCTTCAAAATATCCCTTTAACACACTTGTTTGTAGCACAAATATTTTTTACCATTTACTGCATTTTATTAGTCTATATTTATTTATCCATAGTGGCTAATGAATAGGAATTTAAGCACATTCACAAAAAATAGCTTACTTCTGCGTTGAAAACGAAGGTGGATAAAATGATATCTCTATAGCATTATATGATACTATGCATGTTCTTTGGAATTTAACTTCCAAATAAATGAACCTGTTTGATGTAAGATGATCTGTTGGACTTAGATCATCTTACATCAGCAAAATGTTTGAATAAGACTATAAAAAATTTGTTTACATAAAGACGCCATTAAAATGGCTCATCTGGGTCATCCTAAAATTCTCCAGAAGACCATTTCCTGTTTTGTGACATCACTTTCCATTCAGGATGTTCGGTTTTCCTCTTTATTCACAAAGATTGTCCCTGTTCTCATGCGCCTGACTGCTAGTCCAGACAGCGCAGTCTTTTCATGCTTCATCTCATTGGTACTGGGATTAAGCAGTTTTATTCTTCACGCCACATTCTTGGTGCGATCCAATGATAACAGAGCTCAATTTTATTATTTATATATATATATATATATATACACATACACACACGCACATATGATAAACATATTCATATATATATATTGGAAAAATCAAGCATCATGACATGTGAATGCACTAGAAAGCCTGAATGTTGGTTAGTTTTTTTCCTCACGGTTTTGCACTCTCATACCTGGACTGAAAGTAAGGCCAGGACGCTCATTGCACAACGCATGCGGTGCAGCACTGCTCTTGCTTCTCGGGTAAAGTGGTGTAGTTCATCTGCCTCACAATCTCAGCGAACAGCTCATCGACCATGCTCTTGCTCTTGGCCGAGGTCTCTATGAAGGGGCAGCCCCACTCTTGTGCGAGCGCTCGTCCGTCAGAGCCCGCCACCTCCCGCTCGGACTCCAGGTCCACCTTATTCCCCACCAAGATCAGAGGCACCTTCTCAAAGCGCTTCACACGAACGATCTGGTCCCGCATGGGTCTGATGTCCTGCAGAGCAGAGAGAGAAGGTAATGTATAATATATAAGAAAGTTAAAACTCAGGTCTCCAAATAAGTCAGTTTATGGAGAAATGAACAGTCTTAAAGTTGCAATGAAATGGAAGTGGTGACAAATCTTTTCTTCTGTATTGTGACGTACATCCAAGTGAAACGGATTAACGAAAAAGACAAAACGTTGGGCGGGGCCTTGGTTCTGTGCTTTGATTTTGAGAGACACAAGTGAAGGCAAAGGAGCTTGTAGGGGCGGGGTTTAAGGGGACTAAGTGATGGGATTGGTTAAACCATTTTTAAAAATGAAACATGCACAGATTAAATGTCTACAATAAGATCAATACCATGCATTTAGACTATAGTTTTTTTCTGCGCTATATCTGGCTTCAAATAGAAGGCTTGTTAATAATAATCTTATTTTTGTATTACTTTTGTGTAACAGGATCCCTTCCAGTGCTGTTGTTCTTTATATCATGATTTACTTTTTCTGAGTTTTGTTCTTTTTGGAATAAAATGCTTTTCTTGTATAAGTAATACAAAATGTTATGTACACATGTAATGTCATGTTATGAGAAAGAATTGGATAATAAAAATAAGTAAAAAACAAACAAACATAGAATGATAAAAAGTGGGTGTGTGAGACCACCAGGGTTGGCAATAGTGTATTTGACTGTAAGAAGTTGCAACCTGTTGCATGTATGCCATAAACTACTTTTAAAAGACATATTTTTGATTTCTTGTCATTTACAGTTTGCCAGAGAGGGCTACGGTTTGGTGCTCTCCAAAATCACAGGAGTTTCCTTGCTAGAGTGATTTTCTGACTTCAATTGTGGTAATATGGTAATAGTGGTAAGGATGTCCTAATCTAAACCTCAAAAGTCTATTTGCTGTACTAGCTGAGCCAGACATGAGATGCAATACTCACCTGAAATGACTGCTGATTGACAAGACTGTAGACTAGAATGAAGCCTTGCCCATTTTTGATGTAGAGATCTCGCATGGACGCAAACTGCTCGGTCCCAGCAGTGTCCAGGATCTCCAGCACCGAGGGGGACGAATCCACCTCGATCTCCTTCCTATAGAAGTCCTCGATGGTCGGGTCATATTTCTCTATGAATGTCCCGGTCACAAACTGGACCGTGAGTGCGGACTTGCCCACGCCGCCGCTGCCCAGCACAACCACCTTATACTCCTTCATTTGGTCTGATCCAGGCTTAAGCTACAGCTAACTTTATCTGCTCAGCAACGGCCATAAAAACATAAAAACACCACAGTACTTCTTATCGAGGCGTTTTATGACCAAAACAACAACGGGGGAGCACTTTTATCGGGTTCGAGGAAATCAAAGCCACAGATTCAACAGCGGACGAGAGTGTTTTCCCTGGGTATACGTCTAGCTAAATCCACAACGCCCCTCCATCTGCGCTCTATCGCCATTGGGATCCGCTCATCCGAGAGTTTGTTAGCCACAGAGGCGATGTAAAACACAAGTATTGTGTGCAGTCGTGTCCATGTTTGGCGTCCGTGTGAATGGAGCGCTACATGACTAGCGTTAGCTGGCTAGTGGTTTTCAAAGAGAGCGAGGCTGCACTCGCATAAAAACGGCCCTTTCTTGCTTTAATACCGCTTCTAAGCGACGAATATAATCACCGGGTTCAGGTTTCTTGCTCTGAGACTCTTAACTCATACAGGCCGCCTCGGAATCCTGCATTTCCTTCCCTTCTTGTGCCTCTTTTCCCCGGCCCGCCTCTGCATATCAGCCCCACACAGCAGCAGCGGAGCTCCTCTCTCACTCTAGCGTGAACGAACTGTTCGGCCGAGTCGAATCTCTTCAGTGAATCGGTTGAATTGATTCACGGATTACGCGAATCGGACTGAATTGGGCCCAAGTGGTTCTCGGATAAATTTAGCCGGGATCCGTAAATTTCAAACGTACAATTTGTAAGAGCATTTGGAAACAAGGGTTTGATTGGCACTGAGTTAATAGCCAATAAGCAGAAATTTTACAAAAAACGTTAAGGAAATATGTTTATGACTTGTATGGCGGTTTTATCAGCACATAGTTGGTTATGATAAATAACTAATTTAAAACGTTTTCTCAACAGGTAATTTTAGTACTGATTAATGTAAACTATAATGTACATTTATCTTTTACATGACTTTGTTTCATACAATGAATAATGAATGCAACAAACTGCAATGGCACACATGAAAGAAATAGCCTACTCCTATTAGAAAACTTTTTTGTGTTTGTTGTTTTAAGGACGCTAGTCAGAGGCGACGTTATGACGCAATTACGCCCTGACACCAACGGATAGGTTTATGAACCGGTTCTTTGAAATGAACTGTTCGAAAGAACCGATTCGCGGAAATGAGGCGGCCCCTCCGAGGAGCTCCTCTTTCTCACACGCCTCAAACTGACCAATAAACATCCGCCGGAAATCACATCACTCTAACAAAAATGTGAGTTAGGAGGATAGCAATTTTAAAAGAATTTAAATTGGTTTAATTTTTGTGAATCAATCCACTGTCATCTTAAGGGAAATTAGTGACAAAAACTTTAAATTAGTATATACAGTATGTTTGCTAAAGCTGTAATCTAATTACTGCATATGCCTTATTCAATTATTAATATAATTCATAATAATATTGATATTTTTAGTGTTATTTTAGTTTTTAATGACATTTTTTAAATATAAAACCCTTCAATATATTCTATACTGAGACTATATTTACAGACAGATAAAGTGTAACGATTTAGGCCTAAGTATTTTATAATCAGAGGCCTCTATAGCTGGAAGGAAACCTAAGCTAAACCTGTCCAAGACACAATCATATTGTAAAATGAGATCAAAGAAAAAAAAAAAAAAAGGAAAGTGAGCAATCAATGAACATACAACTATATATTAATATCACTGGCAATTTAAAGCTTGTGTAATCATGAAGTGGTCAGAGTGGTCTCTATGTTACAACTAATGACATTATCTTTGCATGTCCAGTGATTTGAATAGTTTTGTACAGTTAATAAAATGAACTTAAGACAATGTAATTCTTAAATCCAATTATTTGTTTTGTTGACGTCTCTGTAGAGCACTCTGTGAATACAACCAGGAAAAACACACACCAAACACGGTCCAAAAATGCCTTTAAGCGCTTTATTAAAATGTCAAACAAAAAGAACAGAAGTCTTAAGTATGTATATATTCCATACATTTATATATCGCAAAGGGTTTGACAAGAAGCACAGTTCTTGAAGCACATACAAGCACAATAAGCTAAATAGAAAGAAGCATTTCATATAAAGAGTCAAAGCATTCAGTTTTATCTTGTCCTACAGTGGGAGAGAGAGGAATCTATTACATATGGCTTTGAAACAATGTAGACATTCTTTGAACGGTTCCACACACACAATAACATTTACACAGGCATCGGCGTCAGTCACCGAACGTCAGTCGATGCCTTTAAAGGGACATAACCTCTGCATCGATGAGCGATTTCATTCGAAACTATACAGCTTTGTACAACATTAATGTGATGCTCCGGTCTCAGTGACTTCTACACGTTAAAACACGAACCATTGACGTTAGGGTTCCAGTCACAGAAATGACGATGACGTGACTGAATGCAGGGCACAGTTAGGTGGAAGTCTAACCTCAATGGCTTTCTCGACAGACCAGTCCTTTCACATCACACCGAATGTTTAGGCACAGGATAATGGACAGCAGAAGAGTGTTTGTCGATTTTCTCTGTCAAGCACAGTGGTAAAAGGAGCACCCCATGTTCGCATTCAGCTTCTGGATGCAAGTCGGGACCCCTTAGTCTATGCCAAGTCCTAAGTTCTACCTCAGCTTTACAGTCAAAAGGCTGAGGACCATAATCGATTGGTCCAAAGGTGCGTCTATATGCAAGAACCTACAAAAGACTCAGTCTCTCCCTCACTAATAGGGCAAGTGCCATGGCAACAAAATTATTGGCTTCCAAAGCAACTGTAGAGCACAGAATGTACAAGTTTTCTTCAACAGAGTGTTCTGTCTGGCGATTTCACGTCGGATTTTGGAGCAATTTTGATTGAGGATATCCTGTGAGATTTTCAAGTTATTTGTTGGTCTTGGTGAGTGCACAAGAATGGAAAACTGAAATATGTTATTTTGTGTAACCTGCAGCAATGCTTTCCAGCTGCGGTCTGACCCTGAGGTGCTCTTTACGCTGCCCTCCTGGTCTTCCTGCAGGGGGCAGAGCATTATTACTCCCCCCCTTTTCATGGCGTCCCACGGGACTACACCATAGGGACTACACAGAAAACAAAACCGCACGACGTAGAGGTAAAAGAGAAACAAGTTGGCCGTTCTTTGGTTTCTGGACCTCAGGATCAGACGCGAGCGGGCACAGTGCTCAGGTCGCTGCGCTTTTGTAAGCTACGCAAAACTATAAAGTCTTTTTTGACATCATTTTCTCCGCAAAATGCAGTATCATGCTTAACGATGAGAACGAGGGCATTAGCAAACAGAACAAACAACAAATTCCTCGACACCCCAGCGAAACAGCATCTATGTCTTTGACAACCCTTTAAAAGGATAACTGTTTACCTGTATTCCGAACGATACAGACATTTGATTTGAATCTGCTCTTCTACACATATATATATATATATATTTATTCATCTATGTATATTCAAAATAAATTCTGAATATTTTGAATCAGTTATGTACATAAGTGCAAACAAGGTGAATAACACACATTCGTACACCGATGGGGTGACGCGAGTCACCAGGTCCCAGCACAGCTGGGGTGCAGTCTGGGTGGGCCAGAGGGGGACAGAGACTTAAATCAGGGGCTCACGTATGGCTGATACCGTCCCATTACTGACATCACAGGGCTGTGTTGTTTATGAAAACCGCCAAAGCTTTTTGGACCAAATATAAGACTAGAAAGTCTCTTTCCCCCAAATTGATCCATCTGATTAGTTCAAAAGCTCAGATGCTGTTTACGTAAAGATCTGGTTCTTATCTAAAAGTGATCAGCAACCCCAATAGAAAAATAATAATCATTAAAACAGAAATAACGTATGATGTCTCCAAAGGGCCTTTGGACAAAGTATCTCACAAGTCTGAATATATATATATATATACGTTTATATATATATAATTTTACAAAATAGTCAATCATCTCTTTTTCCAAGACAACTTAAGAACACATTCCCTTTCTGAATAAGTTAACGTTGTACATTATTTCACTTGAAGTGTGAAAAAATTCACAATTAAGATATACAAAGGTAGCCATGTTGTAGTTTTGTTGCCATAGCAACAAGAACTTACTATCATAGGTAACAATGAATCTATCATTGTAATACATACAAATGTGTATATTGATATATAGATATATAGATTAAGTAAATTTTTTTTATCTTAAACCACTAACTGCACAAACTATGATGTAGATTATTCAGATTATTTTAATTTCATGCGATGACAGACTTTACGATGTAAGTAAGGTAAGGTAAACCGAGTAACGCTAATGATCAAACTCAAACTACCATTGACAGCTGTGTCAAAACAACACACCGTAACATGACTGAAGTCGTCAGGATATAGTTAAAACCGGTACCGTTACGTAGGTCAATAATGTGAAAAACTAGAATGACGGTGACGATGCGTTTGTAATACGTACACATAGATTATTCTAGCTAACTACTTTATGCAGGTATGCACACTTCTTAAAAAGTGAGTTCTTAAAATGCTAAAGCCCCCGATGAGGCACATTGTTTTTTCTTTATCAAGTATTTCGTTGATTCCAGCTGGATTGCAGTTGGAGAAGGCATAATTCTTTATATGAGAGAGAGAGAGAGAGAGACAGAGACAGAGAGAAAGGAGCTTCTACACCTTGGCTGGGCAATGGAACTGAATTACAAAACACAATCCAACACATCAATAAACAGTAGAGATTGTTCCTAAAGGAATCCACACGTACTTGCCCCAGTATTTCTTAAAACAACCTTAAAACACATGAACATTATACAGAGATGTTTACAATACAGATACTATTTCAGTTATAACACAGTATAGTATCATCTCGCTCTGATTTTGTCTTGGTTTAGACCACCGCTGTATGATATTGTTTCACTTGTGTTTGGCCTAGATAGTGTGTGTGCTGATCAGCAAAAAAAGTTGCAATGATGTTTTTAGGTCATAAAATCAGCTTTACGGCTCTCTCTTGGGGTTACGCCGCTGAAACAACATGGCTGTCCCAAAGGAGACAACAGTTTAGGGAAGGGTCTTTGAGATAAGTGACGAAAAACGCTTTTTCTGTCTGTTTTTGTACATCAACAGTGGATGGCATTGGGAGGCTTTCACTTCCTTGATATGTTGAGAAAGGTTGTAGTTTTGTTCGAGAGAAATGGTGAGAGAGGCATCCAAAACCTCTCGTGACATTCTCTCTGTCTTAAATGTCACATTCATATATGCATGTAAAGGCCCGCGGAGGGGCTCATAAATGAAGCTTTGGCTGATGAGGGCCTTTTCTAAGTACCCAGTCTGAAAAGAATCAAAATTTATTTTAATTGTAACATGTCTACACGAGAGCCGCAGCTTTCAGCTCACAGTCCAAATATTCAGATGTCACACGGTCATCTACGCCCTTGCATTTTAGAGTCTGACGACTTTTGAAAGTAAGGACACAGTCAGTGATTTAAACCTGTTCGCACATGAACACAACAAACACAAGATCAACTTAAAGAGTTCAATCGGCCGTCTATCTCAAAGACAAAATGGGCAAAGAAACTCCCCTAATGGATTGCAGACCTCGGTGTATCGTCCGTCTGACACAGTTTTCATGTTTCCTCCATGGATAAACTATCAATAATGTATTACGGCAATAATCGAATAGAGCTCTTGGTTGGCAGAGACCGGAACTCTATTAGCGGGTGCACACTGATGCAGTAATAAAAACAGCTGCTGAAAACCGCCCTACTGTCAGTTTCCCAACTGTAGGACTCGCCTAATGATAACTGAGATGTATCAAAACAAAGCGCAAGATGATAGCTTGCTCCAATAGGTTTAGATTTGTCGCTTGGGTGGGCACATTTGCAATATTGCAATTTCAATCCATCTGGCTCATGACCTTGGCATGTCAAGGCCTGATTGTGCAGTCCGAGTTCTCCAGTGATTGGCACAGGGCGACCTGTCTGAGAGTCAATGGCACAAAAGCAGTGCACTTGACATGTGTGTGCAGGGGGTCGCATATGCTGCTGAATACAGCAAACTAATGGGAGAGACGCTGGACATTCAAATCAGGTACCAGTCTGTGACTTCTAGAAAGGATTTTGCATACCTCCTTGTAATTTTAATGATCGGGATTTAACATATGTGTGCCAATCTGTTATAAATGAGTGTGTAAACCACTAAACATGCAGTTTAAAGAATAATTTTGGCAACTAATGGACACTGAAAACTGATCTTATAGTACTCAGGGATGCACCAAACATGGCTGAACAAAAAGTGGAGACGAACAGACTGTCACACAGCAGGTGGGGCAGAGCATGGATTTAGGCAGAGACAGTCCAGCCATCAGAAGGGGTTTGTCTACAAGAGATAGACATGGTAATAGGGTGAATCCTATGAAAATGTCACATTTCACACCAAAATCAAAACAGAAAATTTTCATGACAATTAAACATTTCCGTGATGCACTGTATGTTTTTGCACTGGAGCAATTGCATTTTTTTTTTATCCTCTATGATTTCACTAGTACAACATTTTTACTATATAACAGGAAACATTTTTTTTTGGTAATATAATTGTTTTTAGTATTATATTTTGTTAACAACAGAATTAGAACAAATGTAACCGTGATACTTTAAAATTATTTCTGTGTAATTATGTAGTTATTTATTGCACATTACAGTGATAAAACTGAGATTTGTTGTATTATGTTAATGACAATAGGACTGCTTAATTGTCATAAAAATTTGTTTCAGCAAATATATATATTTTTTTCTTCTGCTTTTGGTATGAAATATGACTTGGAATATGACTTTTTGACTGTTTTCATGAAATTCACCCAATAATTGAAGAAATGCAATATATAATCTAAAAAGTTACTATTTTTTTTTAGAGCATTTGAATATCCAGGACATCAGACAATAAGAAATATTTGCAAGAAACATTGAAGAACAAAGACCAGCTGGAATAAAAATAAAGTCCAGTTAAAAGTTTCTCAATGAGACATCTTATACATCCAGAAGGCCTGCAATCAGACCTTGCATTTCAGTGTGCATCACACTGCCCAACAAGAAGTGCTCATATTTAGTCTGCTTAAGGCAGTTTTATTTTTAAAGGGGAGGTATGAGTATGTGAACCAATCTTCTGTTTGACCGCCTCGATGTGGAGCTTGAAATGCGAGGTGAGACACTTCAGGCATGAATAGTAACACTTATCTCAGTAGACCAGTTTTAGCCTGTTGGAAAGTCATTAAATAAATAATACTCTGTCAAGAAAAACTCACAACAACACACATCCCTAAGTAGACGAAGGACCGACACATTGATTCTGAAAGGCTACACAGGTATACTTTCTTAGTCTATGATAAAATGTAAGTCAGCTGAGTACAGAAGAACTGGGGGGAAAAAAAGACGTCCACACACTTGTAACTCAAAGGCACGAACAACGACATTTTGAAAACCTCTTAACGAAAAACCTAAATCAGTATCATGAGAATCAGCATCAGATTATCTTACAAAAGCATCAATCATTTTCAAATAACCTTTTTTTTTTCCCGACATTTGGAAATGTAAACATGAAATAAAACGTGCCACGTTCATTAATCATAATTAAATGTGAAAGAAATTACCACCACCACCACAACTATGTAAAATTTCATTAGGTGTCGCTCTCACACACTCTGGGTTTTCACATTCTACGACGGAGAAACATTCTGTCTGCTGATGATCTGCATCGACTCCACCTCTTACCGTACATCAAACGAGTCGGCTCTGAAATCTAATGTTCACCTCTAGAGAATTCACTCTTCTCAGCTAATTGGTTTGCATGTATTCGTATGGCTGTGAGTTACGAGAGCACTCCATCTCCTGATTCAGCATCCGCACGCTCCTTACGTCTCCTTGCATCGAGATGGCATGCTTCCTTAAACAGTTGTAGGTCCAAGCTTAAGTATTGCCTGTTTCAATATCAACAAACCTCTGTTGACGTCAAATGAAGTGGGAATCTCTGACATGAGGATGAATGTATTGCCCGTTAAGGACGTACTGATTAGGCACACGTTTTGTTGCATTCATTTTTCTGTTGTTTGGGCACATGTTGCATGAGAGATGGGCCTGATTAGGTTGTGGGATTGCGGGAGAGGCTTACTGGATTCAGCGTCATTGGTGCAGCCACCAGGAGTTTAGGAACGGGACAGAAATGGGCCTCCATGGGAACGCACTGGAGGTCGATGGGGTCGGCGCTCAGTACCTCGGCGGCGTCTACTGGAAGACAGGTACAAACAGCCCAGAGATAAGGAGGTGAACCTCTTACGGTCAAACAAGCAATATGCAAAGAGAATACAGTCAATTTTTATCTTATCTACTCCAACATCAAACCCGCAGTTCATTTCGAAAATGAGAAAAAGAATTACAAGAGTATGAATAAATATTGTGCCATATGATCAAATAATGCATCAGTTATCTTGAGACAGCGGGCGCAGACCTGCAATTCCACAAACGTAATTTTGCGAGACGCATTTTGGCAAATAAAGCAAGCGAAGCAGGAAATGAGTGCTGACACCTCAGGTCTGTGCAGCGTTATTGGTCTATACCTGAACTCCAGAATTACCATTACATGCTAAACTAGAGCTGAAAACCACACCGGATATTTTGCCAGCTTACATAATGCTAAACACAGGGTTCCTACGCATTTTCCATTTCAAAATTACACACTTTTCCAGACTTCTCTGTGGATTTTTCAGACTATACTTATAGTAAAAAATAAATGATTAAGGGTGTAACAATTAAAAGTTAAATTCCCAATATTGAATTCACAATTTGATGCTCTCACAAAAAGTAGTGTTACCAAAATGTCTCGTCAGTACCAATACCAGTAAAATTTCTTAGTTCTTGGTACCATAGCAAAAACTATTGGAACTACTTAACTATTTTACTTAGTTATTCGATAATAAAAAATATTAAATAAATTGAATGAGTTAATTATTAATGCTAACAATAAGTAAATACATTAAAACAGCATGTAGCCTTATTTTTCAATTAAGAAAACATTGCTTTAAAAAGGTCAAGTAAAAAGCTACTAATAAAATGAAGAACAAAGAAACTCATTGTCAAGTGGCAAGTCTATTAGTTTTCATTTACACTTCAAGATCAGTTTTTCAGATTTTTTTTCTCCCATCCGCTGCTATGGTTATCACGGTGACAATCATCACAATTTCAGATTCAATCCCAGATTTAAATATGTGACCCTGGACCACAAAACCAGTCATAAGGGTCAATTTTTCGATTTATACATTTTTTTATACATTTATATTTATTTATATGGTTTATAGATGTTTAGTTTATTTATACATCATCTGAAAGCTGAATAAAAAACTTTTGATTGATGTATGGTTTGTTAGGATAAGACAATATTTGGCTGAGATACAACTATTTGAAAATCTGGAATCTGAGGGTGCAAAAAAATCTAAATATTGAGAAAATCGCCTTTAAAGTTGTCCAAATGAAGTTCTTAAGCAATGCACATTACTAATCAAAAATTAAGTTTTGATATATTTACAGTAGGAAATTTACAAAATATCTTCATGGAACATGATCTTTACATAATATCCTAATGATTTTTGGCATTAAAAAAACTAATCGATAATTTTGACCCATACAATGTATTGTTGGCTGTTGCTACAAATATACCCGTGCTACTTATGACTGGTTTTGTGCTCCAGGGTCACATATAATTATCACTTCTAAAAAAATTCATATGCTCAACAGACATATCTGTGATTGGCTAAATGCTTCAAAAACAATTGTAAATAGAAACCTTTGACACGCTTCACAAATACGCCAAGCACAGGGGCAGCAGTTACACCTGAATAGAAATATTCATAATTCTGCTGAGCTAAAAATATAGGACTATGTTTGACACACGTTTTATGAAAAACAGAATAGGGACAATAGTCTGGAAGTCAAACTTTTTTCCATACTCTGTTTTCTTTTTTTCTATATATATATATATATATATAGACCTGAAAATGACTAAAATCAAATTCTATACTTTTCCAAACTGCATAGGAACCCTGTAAACAATCCACAATGTAGCTCTTTAAGAAATAAAGAGGCAAGCAAAACATGGTCAGGTCAGGATTGTGGCTTGCCTATGATTCTGCAGAACACATTAACTAAACAGACTAAATGGTGAACTTTCAATTTCCCTTAAAGGTAAATTTAAGACAATGAAGAAGGAAGGACAAACAAAAATTCAGAGAACTGTCATCTAAAAACAGACACCCACATCCTATTCACAGAAAAACGCAGAGGACACAAATACCATCTCACTCTAATGTGAGCCACAGAAACAACTTGCTCCAGTGCAAAATTCCTCAAACATGGTGAAGGGGGAAGAAAAGACAATGAACTTTTGAAATGTATCACTTAAAGGGATAGTTTGTTCAAAAATAAACATTCTGTCATCATTTACTTGCCCTCATGCTGTTCTGAATTTCCATTCTTCTGTGGAGTGCAAAAAACGGTATTTTTTTTTAAGTAATATTACGTTGCTTATTTTATACAACAACAGGTCATAGTGACTTAATCTGTTAATCTTCAAAAATTACAGAAAAAAAACTAACTAACGCAAAAATGATCAATTAAATCCATACCACTTGAACTGAATTTGAGAATCAAATCAGTCCAATTCATAAATCAGTCATTCAACTGATTAATTGAAAAGAATTAACAAAAAAAATAAAATACATTTACACTTACATTAAGTCATTTAGCAGAAGCTTTTATCCAAAGCAACTTACAAATGAGGACAATAGAAGCAATCAAAAATAAAATAAATTCACAATTCATTTGAGTCATTTGAGAATCAGATCAAATAGTTTACTGAAAAGAACTGAATCAACAGAAAAAAGATTAATTCAAGAATCATTTAAGTAATCTGGGAATCTAATCAAACAGTTCACTGAAAAGAACGGGCTATTTTATCATATAAGCTAACATTTAACTTCAGAAGACTTGAAACAAAATTGTACAGTGCCTTTTTGTTGTGTTTTTTTTTCCTTAATGTGGTCGCTATAAACTGTTGTTGTATGGAAAGAGCTGGCTAATGATTAATTATTAATGTCTAATGTTGTGTTCCATGGAAAAAATAACAGCATACAGGTTTGGAACAACATGAGGGTGAGTAATTAATGACAGAAATTGTATTTTGGGTGAACTATCCCTTTAAATGTAGCTATTTGCCTCTAACACAGTGAAGACACTGAAACAGACAGACAGAGATGTGAACACACACAGACATATGGAGGAACTGGGACATTGTGCTAAAGAGGTAAAGAGGCTCCTCACTGGTCCATAGAGAACTCAACGACTCAAGGTCGTCATTTGGTTCTGCCATTTGGAATCAGAGAACAGTTGCATTAACATTATCTTTACTTGGATAACACCATCAGAGTTTGCATTTAGATTTTCAAGTCTATATATAAAAACAAAAGCATTATTGTCTATGGACCAGAGTCGGATGCCTTACAGCTGTACCTGGTTGGAGGTGGCTGATTCAGCAAAAGGAACATTGGTGACTGGGGTCGTAGCCGACGAAACAGTGGAAGTGGTGGCACCGTGCATCATGGGAACTTTTTTCAGGCGAGTCAGACAAGAAACAAGGGAAGGGGGAAGGTGGAGGGGAGGAGGAATGTTATGAGTACCATGACATAATATGCCATAGTCATGGCAACTACGTCTTCATGTACTGCAAAGATGATGTATTCACTCAAGTACAAACATGCAAACAGAACTTAAAAACATTTTGTTTCGTTACCTTTTAGCTTGGAGAGTTTTATCCGATCACCATTACATTTAGATAAAACTATTAAGGGTAAAATAAAAACATGGCCGTCATCAAAATCACAAACATTTGGAACAGACGGGAACGTCTGACTGTCATATTTTGATGGGGGCCAGAGAATGGATAAATATATATGCAGTTCATTCCCATTCAAATTGCCTTAAAATAATATGACACTTTACTTCTTTGGTTAGGAGCTAACCTGATAATGAACGACATTAACGTTCTACAATACTTGTAAATATTAATTAAGAATTGAATCTAATAAAACCAGCTAAAGTTAAAGAGATAAAGGTCATATTATAAGAAAAACTGCAAATTAACACAGCATAATATGTACACAGCAAGTGCATCACAGATGTCAAATACAGGCATGCGCACAGGCACACATTGGCACACTCACTGGTTCAGCACAGATCTAGTGTTTTGACCGGATTGTTACCAGCTAAACGACTGTTAAGGACAAATTTAACTTGGCCAGCTAAAAAAGGAGATCATTGTTCATCTATGGGCATGGAAGTGTGTGTGCAACTGCATTTCTGCTAGGATTATTTTGGGTTTGTTAACACTGAAAGTGAGCAGGGGTGATTTCTACCTTTCTAAACGGGTGAATGGTAAGTTTGTGTGTGTGTTTGTGAGGGGAGGGGACCTAGTCTCTACCCTCACCAGTATGTCCAAGCCCTGACAGGTAACGGCTTTGGGGGGCCCTGCAGCTGGTCCAGTCCCGCCTCTCCCAGCGGCCCTCTGTCATTAGGCCTGGGGGTTTGAAAAGGCCTATAATAGATTTCAGGAGGTGAGGGAGAGGAGAGGATGAGGAGGAAAGGGCACAAAGAAAAAGGAACCAGTCTTAATGAGTCACTCTGAAGGCTTTGGCCTTGCTTGTTTGTGCCCGCACTGTGCCGTCAGCTGCACACGAAATCACACGCACACATGCATGCACAAACACATACGACAAGCCGAAATAATGAGCAAATGATAAGAAGTGGTGAAAGCAGACAGGTTGGGTGTAAACGCAGTGACAGACGGGACAGGGTTGGGCCTCCAGTTTGAGACGTAATGAGGGAAATGACTGTGTAAGGTGCACACGTTAAGCTGTCCTTGTCATTTTCAGTACTGACCATTACATATATCTTGTATTGACGTTATAAGGTGTTTCTTTGACTATGAGCACTTTTTTTTATTTTTCTCCTAAAAATCAAGTCATGTATTGTGTTTAACAGTATTCTTTGGTAAAAATGAAGGTGACAAATGAATTGCTAGATTAAAAAAAAAAAAAAAAGATCACAAATCAAATATGCTGTTTATGAGTGATATATTTTAGTAGCTATGAACAATACAATCATAATGTGTAAAAATATATATATTGATTTGAATACTGTTTTTTTATTTTTTTTATTTTACAAGTTACAATTCTGTTAGAATACTGTTCTTTCACAATTAAAATGGAAATAGTTTATGATAATTACATTTTCACAATCATCTTTTTTTTTGTCTTTTTTTCCTCAAAGTCCTGAGCATTTCTATCATATCCCAAATGATATAATGTGTTTAATAGCATTCTTTAGAGGAAATAAAATGTTAAACATTTTTTACATAAAATGGCCAACACTTTTGTCTTGCTAATGCTAAATTTACAGCTAGCATTTCAAAAAACAGCAGCTAGACTGAAAGTGCCACACAAAAATATTTTGCTCAAAAGTGATATTTAACTTTTCCTACTTTTATTTATTTGATTAGCATCTGTAAACAATGCAGTCATAATTATTATATTATAAAAATTATATTATATATACGATTGATTTGAATGAATGATTTGTAATTATTTTCACAATTATTAAGAATTTCAAGGAAATGGTTTATGGTCAATTCTGTTTATAAAGGTTTATAATATTATTTCTTTGTTTAGATTAACCATACGTTTGAAATGTTGTAATTCATGTTGTTTCATGTTATGATAAAATTTTATTATTTGGATTGGATGTCTGGGTCTGGGACAAAAAACTAAAAAAAACAATGTAATCTACATATAATAGACATGTGAAAAGTAGCAAAAATGAAGGGATGGTAAGTTTTAACAAAAAACAAAACACTAAACCAAAGAAAAACCAAACCAAACAAAGCAAAACACCAAATTGAAGAAAAACCAAACCAAACCAATACAAAACAACACCAAACCAATCAACAAAACAAAACAAAAGTGCCCACAGCAGAAGAAACACCCCATGATATACTGCTGGGCCTGCTGGGAGTTAATCGTGGATCACCCTCCTGTCTGTCACAGATCTGAGATGCTGCTGTAAGGAAACCACTCATTCAGAGAGACTGGGAAGTGACCTACCAATGCCTCCAGATGGAGCCATGCAGAATACGGAGCCTGCATCACCATGCACAAAGAGCCCAGGAGAAGAGAGACCGAGGAGGATGGAGGAGTGGAAGAGATGCAGAGAAGAGGGAGTGAAAGCAGCATGAGAACAAGACAAAACAACTTTAGAGTTAGTGACACACAGCGAAAGAGCGATGACCGTCATTATGGACGACATGGTGGCGAGATGGAGACACGGACACAAAGCAGGGAGAAACCAAGAGGAAATGAATCACGCTGGTAGAAAGATCCTCATCAGGAGGGGGATGTTAACCTGGCTGCCAATCTGTTGTTGTACTGATACGCTTTCTTGTCTCATCAGCTGATTAGCCTAATGCTAGCAAGTCAAGCCTAATGCTTGATTTTTGCACCAGCATTCACAGCACATTTACATTTCGAAATGTGCCTTACATTGGAGTTAAACAGAAAATTCAGTGGGATCAAATCTAGGATTGAGCTTCAATTCATCCATCAGGATTTGACTGAATCAGGAAGGTGCATATTAGCTAGGCTATGATACAGCCATTGTTATGTCAATAGAAAAAAGCAATTTTACAAGCAGAGAAGACTATTTTCTTGCTTTAAACTAACATGCACTGCATAATCAAGCATAAAACATTTATTAAAAAAGTTAAAAGGGCCCGTTTTGATTTCATGTTGCCTATAAAGACCTCATGAAATGGCAGTTTTCTTTCCTGCACTGATGTATTCCCTACTGAAACAAAATGTTTGGGTGGGGTATTTTTATACCGCCAATATAATGTAGTTTACGTCACAGCAGTGAAACATTATTTGCTACACGGTAATGTTAGTAAACGGCAGGTGGAATTAGAGGGACATTTTCAATCTAGGGAGCATCTTACTGGGAATAAAACCTGTGTAGTACAAAATTTTATTTTATTTTTTTGGTTTATTTTCACAGAAGAGAAAGACTGTACATTTTAAAAGCATATGAAGCACTAGCATATAGCTAATCTCAAAAGTAATCAAGTGCGGCAGGGATTACATATTTTTGTAGACCACAACCCGAAAACTAGTTTGCATTTTTAGTAGGTTGGTAAATAAGGTTTAAAGGGGTCATGATGCTGCTAAAAAGAACATTATTTTGTGTATTTGGTGTAATGAAATGTGTTTATGCGGTTTAAGGTTAAAAAAACACATTATTTTCCACATACTGTACATTATTGTTTCTCCTCTATGCCCTGCCTTTCTGAAACGCGTCGATTTTTTACAAAGCTCATCGGTCTAAAAAGCGAGGTGTGCTGTGATTGGCCAGCTATCCAGTGCGTTGTGATTGGCCGAATACCTCAAGCGTGTGACGGAAATGTTACGCCCCCTACCATATTGTGATGCCCTGTCAGGCCGGAGCGATGACTCAAAAACATTAAAACCCATTATAAACGAGGCATTTTCTTTATGCACCAAGAGCTTGTAACACTTCAAAGATATCAACACAAGCTGAAGATCTTTTAAGTTTTACTCTGACAAAATGTGTTGAATAAAGCCACTTGTGCTTTTTTAAAGCTTTTACTTGGCTTTAAAAAGGTGGCTAACAAGTGGCTAAATAGGACTACAGAGGTTGTTTGGGACATTAAGCATCATCACACTGAACAGTTAAACTCATCTACGCACTAGTCTGCCTTTACAGCCTCATATTTCATTAATAATCACTCTCTTGCTAGCTATTCAAGCTTATATTGGGGTGTAGTTTATTTATAGCCTATATTTAGCCTTTTACTTCTGGCGATTGTATTTACGCTTCAAAATTCATAAGTTATGTTCATTTCTAAAGATTATCATGATGAACAAAATGTGTAAGGGTTATATATCATTGTTGGTCACAGAGCTCATTATATGCAATTTTCCAAAACCAAATAAAAAATCCTATTGGATTCTTGTAAAGGGAACCAGGGTGATGCTTATGGCTTGGCCTAGAAAAAAAACATGTCAATCACTGCAGCGCTCTAGATTTGGACTAAAAGCCACAAAACTCCTATTTTGATTTCACTGGGTCTTTATTAAAACTCTCTGCTGGGTGGCAAACATACTGTAACTATCCTCTCAGAGCCTCTTTATAAGGCCGAAGGGTTGCTGCTACAGCCATTTAGGCAAAATACTAGCTTTTTTACTGATTATTATTAATCTAGCTTTTTTACTGATTATTTGAGAACAGTGAACATAGTGCAGTGCAGCATCAGAAAAAGAGTAGCTAATGCTCAGGTGCAGGTGCATGAGGAGACGCGGGACTGTATGCATCATGGGACAAATTAGCATGACATGTGCATAGGGTGGACTACTACGAGATAAAGAGAGCAAGTGGGCTTACAGGGAGAGAGATGGCAAGCAGAAAAAGTGCTCAAATCCTCGTCTAGCCGGGCACTTTGTCTTTAAAGTGCTGTATGTATGTAAGCCAAACTATTACAGGAATACAGTGATATTAGAGCACAGCTCAGGGGAAATCATCTGTCTACGTGAGCTCACCTGTGGGAATGAACGCTGGCTGCTGCAGCTGCATGCTGGCCAAAGCCTGCTGGTAGTGGAACATGCTGGGGTTGAAGACGGCAGCTGCGCCATTAGTCTTCTCCAGGGTCGGTCTCTTTGGTAGCTGTTGCATGGCTCCTGGTGGCAAAGCCTGAAGTGATCGGGATGACAAAGAAGAAAGAGGATAAAAACAAAAAGAAAAAGAAAGATGGTGGGTAGAAAGAGACGTTAAAGATAGCCATGATACTGAGCTACAGGAAACTTTGTACTGTGTGTGTTCATGTCCATTCATGACAATAAATCTGACATACTGTGTGTTTGTCATTGTAAGTGTTGCAAACCATTTTTTATAAATAAATAATAAAACATTTTCAAAACATTGGAGACATACTTGACTACTTCTTTTAGGATGCAACAGAAAAATGTATAAATTATCTTTTTTTATCATATGTGTGTATGTGTGTGTGTGCATGTGTGAAGTTCAAACTTTTAAACAGGACCGAGTATATACAAACTTCCAATCAGTGTTGGGGGTAAGGCTTTACAAGTCAAACGAGTTACGTAATCAGGTTACTTTTTTCAAGTAACTTGTAAAGTAACGCATTATTTTTAAATTTACAATGAAATATCTAAATTACTTTTTCAATCCCAGCCCAGGTGACAAAAAGTAACCCAAAAGTAACAATGCATTACTTTCCATAAAGAGTAACTTAGTAACACAATTAGTTACTTTTTTATGGAGTAACGCAATATTGTAATGCATTACTTTTAAAAGTAACTTTCCCCAACACTGCTACCAATATATAATCATATATACAGTTATGGTCAGAATTATTGGGGGTGCTGCGGGCGAGGCTTGATGTTGCAGGGCGGGGCCATGGTGGGGGATTTTTGACAAAATCCTAATATTAAACAGTCCAAACTCAAAACAAAAATTAACATACAAATGAAGAGAGAGTTATATGCGAACCAATATATATTTGCGCTTTTGTGTTTTTAGTTCAAGAATTTTACTAAATATTATCAACGCTGATAAGCAAAAGTTTTGGTCAGTGCACTTTGGCGAATTCTCTCAGAAACAACAAAGTGCAGATGTAGCCTACATGCAATGTAAATAAGAGACCAATTCATCATACACGGCAGACAACATCACTGATTATAACTTATAGCTTTTTTAGAGTACTTACACTCACGTCTAGACTGAATTCAGTGATATTCTTTGATAATGTAAATGTTCTTTGCTCCCTGTATAATTTGTTCGTTGTTTGAATAATCGAGGATATGCGGCGTTATAATTAAACTTAAAATGTCTTTTTATTAAACGTGATCAGGTTAAATACAAATTCAGTCTTATTGAAATATTTTTGTCATAATATGGAAGCCTACTTGCCTAAAATGTTATGATTTGCGTAGTTAATAGATTACATTAGGCTACAGTGGTTTGAGCGCGTTTGACCAGATACTAGAGCGCAATTAAAGAGCTATGCTTATGTGATTGCCGGGGGCCGTCTTGAGAAGCGAGAAAATGGCTCATAAAAAGGACGAGGACTTGAATGGTTTTTACAAGTCGGATGGAATGTAAAATTACGGTAATATCGCGTGAACGTCACATGAAATTCTGTCAGTGTGAGGGGGAGAAATAGGGACGCAAGTAAAATACAACGGCACTAGGCTATATTTCTGGTCAGTTTAATAAATAATTAATCACAAAACTATCACAAAAATTAAGTATCTTGGGGATGATCGAGGGGCACAAGGAAAATGTCAGACCCAGCCCTGTGGCGGGGGGTGCTGCAGCACCCTCAGCACCCCTAGTTCACACGGCCATGCTTTCATTATGAAATAAATGTTTTTCACCAGTACATCTTGGCCACAATTATTAGCCCCATTTTATTTAATATGTTTTGCAACTTCCATTTGCTGGGATAAGAGCAAGGTAATAGCCTATAATGCCCTGAGGAATTTGGAGAATACCTGGCAATAGATCGGAGACCATTCTTACATGCAAAAGCTCTTCTTATCTTTCAATGTTCATCTTAGTACACTCTCCTCTTCAGTTCACACCACTAATTTCCTATAGGGTTCAGATCAGAGGACTGGTGGCCATGGCAGAACCAATATTTTGTTTTCGATCATTGTCCTGATGAATGATCTAACCAGAATCCAGAATTGATTTTTAATCTATTGGTATTTGATAGAATCCATGATGACATCTATTTGAACAAGATGTCCAGGACCTCTGGTAGAAAAATAAGCACACAACATTAAACATTCAGCAGTATATTTAACCGTGGACATTGTATATCATGTGTGTCAAAAAGCTTTTTTTTTAGATTCATCTAACCATAGAAGCTGGTCCTTTTTGAAGTTCCAGCCGTGTCTGACAGCTAAATATGCTGGAGTTTGTTTTTGATGAGAGCAGACAACTTGTGGTGATGGCGGCGCTTTTTAATATTTTTTTAGGCTTTTTGACCTAAAGACTCAACTAATCTCTGCAGTTGTCCAGCTGTGATCCTTAGAGAGTCTTTGGCCACTCAAACTCTCCTCCTCACCATGCATTAGGACGATATAGGCACACATCCTCTTCCAGGCAGATATGTAACACTTCCTGTTGATTGGAACTTCTCAATTATTGCCATGATGGTGGTAATGGGAATTTTATTGCAGCCACTTTCTATTTTGTGAAGCTGAAACATATTTTGCCGCACATCAGAACTATATTGTTTGACTTTACTTATTGGAATAGATGATTAAGGGAATTTGGCTGGACATGGCAGGACAATATCATGTTTGTAGTCACCCTGGTGTGCTAAATTAAAAAAAAAATGAATGGGAATATGAAGGGGTGCTAATAATTGTGGCCAACGTTTATTGGAGAAAAACATTTTTATTCACACTGAAAACATCTCTATATGTCCATCCTAATACATGCTAATTGTTTTAAACGATAACAAGAAATGTCCTTGAGCAGCAAATCAGCATATTAGAACGATTTCTGGTTTGTGACAGCTAGTGCTGATCACTTGTATGCTCATCAACTACATTGTATTCTGTAGTTTTAACGCAAAGCGAAGATTTTTTAATTAATGGTATATGCTGTGCTTCCTTCTCTGACAAATGTCTGGGAGTGCTTCTCCATTTTTCTAAAGTGGCATCAGAAGCATGCAGCCTTGCATGAGGAAGAGCGATATCAGAAAGAGAAACTGAGGTGAGGCGTCTTTACCAGCCTCTGATAATTAAACACAGAATGCTCAGTCTAGATGAAGGCATAAAGAGGAGGATGCACGGCTGTCTTCCACTGTGTAATTCTGTCTTAAGACTGATATGCAACATGATAAGGGCAAGGTCAGCAGGAAAGAGAATATCTGTGATTCACTAACCGAGGGATGATGGGGGAGCAGTCCGACCTCATGATTTACACGAGTGAACTCAATCCCACAACCCAATAATAATGTGCTGTACTGTATACAGCTCAACAGTCGGGTTCCTGAAGTAAAAAATCTCAATCCAAATCTCCACAGTGAGACTGATATTAAACAATAATGCATAAACCTTTCAAGAAAGACCACCTATGAGCTCTAAGGTTATTAAGACGGTGGTATATGTTTCTGTAGATTGCATAAGCTGGTGATTTAAACTTCACTGAAAACAATTGCTTAACTGCCAAATTAATTACAGATGAGGTATTGCATTACCCACAATTCTGTAGCGAGATTCACCAATCAGAAGTTGTTGTTTCCATGGCAATGAAAACTGCAAACCCCACAAAATATTTTTTTTGCATCTATATTATTGTTACACAGCTACTTATCTTGTTAGTTATTAATAGATGTTGTAATGTAAGAGCAAAAAATATGTTTTCTAATAAGGAACCACATTAAAAAGTTTTGTCTAAATAAATTTAATATTAAAAAATAAAATCAATCACTGCTAACACTTTATTTTAAGGTGTCCTTGTTACACGTTACATGCACTTACTATTATAACAACACTTAATTATGCATAATTACATGCAAGTAACCCTAAACCAAACCTTAACCATATAGTAAGTACATGTAGTTAATAAATATCACTCAGTACTTAAAATGTATAATTACACTGTAACAAGGACAGCTTAAAATAAAGTGTAACCCAATCATTTTAAATGCTACAATCTGAATTTGTACCACATTATAATGTACAGAAAGAAAATGGATATTTATTTTGAGATTTGCTTTTTTGCTTATTTTGACAAAGGTAATCTAAATGTAAAAATAGAAGAAATGAGCATGGACAATTAAATATCCAATATTAATTAATATGCAAAGAACTATTATTGGATGACAAGCAATATGGTACTCATATAAACTTATTTTGCATCTCTATTAAAGATACATTCTTGCGTCATTTTTCGGATTTTCAAAATCTAATCAAATGATAGAGATTCCTCTCTGAGCTAGTTGGTTTACTTTACATTTTCAATTTTCTGAAGTGCCTGTGGAGAAAAGTATTGAGAAATATACTTCTAGAATCCAGACTACAAATGTATTCAGTTTCATTTCACTTCTAAGACAATGATTAGTTTACACAGAGATTGTGGCTGGTTTCTTGCAGCATTAACTCTTTCATCCAAAACACAAACTGAGCTATTAGAAATGAACAAATCAGCAAACAAAATGAAAAAGACACAAAAATGGGTGAAAGATTAAAGTACCAGATTGAAAGTTGGATGCAGGCTGCGCTTCAGAGGACACTCTGAGGGCTGGGTAAGCGAGCAGTGACCACATGACGATGGCAAACCAATCAACGACAGTAGACATAAACACGAGACAAGAGAATAAGCCGTGAAGGAACAGATGCAGCTGAGGTTACAGAGAGAGCTGGGTAATAAGCTTGTAGGACAACAAAGAGAGCTGTGAGGATGTAAAGACAATCAAGCAGTGTTCAAAAAGAATGACAGCATGAACCGAGAGGGAATCAAATAAAGCCAACATATGATAGAGCCTCAGCCAGACCAGGTGACTGCAGGAAGCAGAGGAGGATTTTTGGATAAGGTCCCCACATCTGTGCACTGTAAATAAACCTTTGTAAAAAATGTTACATGATAAGACTTGGGGAGACTGGGATAAAAATTACACATTATGAAAGGGAAACTGTCTGCAGTACACTCTCGGGTGGGAGGCTGCTAACTAGTGGAGGTTTCCGTGGGAATTAATTGCTTGTTTTTTCCTTTCTTATCATTTTTCTCTCCTGCACCTGCACTGCAGACACTGTTTGCAACCCATCACTGAGCCCAGGTCTTCATACATCACATAGGAGACAAAGAGCTCGCCTGCAGGCACACACACACACCCTCCTGCGGGGGATCTGAATTATTTAATACACACATTGAACGTGTGTGGAAAGTGAGTTATAAATACACACACCTTCATCTGACACTAGTAAAGCTTACTGAAAATGGCATACTGGCCAAATCTAAGGCTGCTGGTCACTTAGGTTACTCCAGTGGGACTGTTCCTGTAATACGTGTAGTGAAAGTTGCCTTGGATAAAACCACATGCTAAAATGGCTACTTGCTTACTAAAATGGCCCAGTATGACATGAGATTTGATGAATTACTAGCCACATATTACAAAAAAGATTTAACTCCGTTTCCACCGAAATGGTGCGATGATGTAGCTTACTACATAACACCGTGCATTGTGGTCTTTGTTTGTTAGACTTGTGAGTTTGAAAACAAATGTGAACATCCCAAGCAATTTAAGTCAGTGTTTATGATCATGAGCTGCATAAGCAGATGCAACTGTGAGAAGTTAAAATGGAATAAATAAACATTAATAAAATCCAAAGAAATCTAATGATGCATACACTACCGTTCAAAATTTCGGGGGCAGTAAGTTTTTTTAATTTTTTTTTTAAAGAAATGAATACTTTTATTCAGCATTCATGCAATAAATAGGTCAAAAGTGGCTGTAAAGACATTCATAATGACATTCAAAAGATTTCTATTTCACACAAATGCTTTTGAACTTCCTATTCATCAAAAAAAAAAAAAAAAAAGTATCATGGTTTTCTGTGGGATATTACATTGTAAAATGTATTTAAATTATTTTCAATTGTAATATTTCGTAATATTATTTGTATAATTTTACTATATTTTTGATTTATAAATGCAGCCTTGGTGAGCTTCACAGACTTCTTTCAAAAACACACACACAAAAAAACTTACCGACCCCAAACTTTTGAATGGTGTGATAAAATATAATTGAATAATGAATGTAATCATGAATTTAATAATAATAATAATAATAATAATAAATAAATAAATGATTCACTCACTCGTTATTCATTTTAACATTCATTATTTAAAGGGTTAGTTCACCCATTGTTTTCTTAAATTTTGTTCCGAAGATGAACGAAGGTCTTACGTGTTTGGAACAACACGTGGGTGAGTAATTAATGACAGAATTATCATTTTTGGAAAAACTAACCCTTTAATGTTAAAACAAAGTGCCTTGAGTTTGCAAGTCATGTTTCGATTAAGTTTGATTTATGCCACAACAAGCTGCTTTTGATTAAACGGTCAGAAGTTATTTAAATGTGTAACAAATTCAATTAATAGCAATGACTTTGATATATTATATTTGTAAATAATTTTATTTTAGATGGATGAATAAAATAAAGAATTTTTCACAAATTAATATGTAGCTTAATTATCAATATGACAACTCCATATTGTTGCCATACTGTCTTTACTGAAGGCATCATTTTCTATACTGTGATGTGTGTTTGTTATAATCATGGGAATTAGTGCTTGTGATGCCATTGTAATGGGATCGTCTCAGTAACTCACCATGGCAGCAGCATTCTGGCTGGCTTGGTGCTGCGCCGCCTTTATCCGGGCCTGTAAGTGAGCCGGAGGGTGAAAGTACTTGCATTTGTCACGGGTGCATCGGCCCTTAATGTAATCCATGCAAACAATGACGGAGTTCTCGCTGCCGTCCACCATGGCGGCTTCCATTGGGTGGGCATAGCGGCAGTCGTTCTCCCCGCGTGTGCAGTTCCCCCGCTGGAATTCTCGACACACCTGAGAGCAGGACAGCAGAGATTTACTACCACCCATTAGTCACGCTGAAAATCACACTTAGTGACAGTCATTTCAATTCTTATCATGACACAATAGCATTATAAACTAGATTTTTACATTTGGTAAAAGAAGTGTGACCCTTGCCCAATTCTATGTTGAATGAATGGTTGCCAGGATGTTTCTATTAGGGTTATAGATTCTTTTAGCATGTTGCTTTGTAGTTGCTAGGGTGTTTGTTAGGTGTTTGCTCATTTGCCCAGGTCAAAATACGCCCAGCCCCAAGTCTACATCATATTCTGGCCTATATATTTGACTCATTCAATGCTAGTCTATAGGATTTTTGGTAACGCTTTACAATAACAGTATATGAATAATCATAATACTAATATCTAAATTAAATATCAAAAACTAATCTTTACTATGACATGAGTCATATGAATTCATGTGTGAATAATGACCACCTTGACTATATGTTAGTTCATACATGTACATACAACTGTCTATTGTTATATACCTGTACATACAATTGTCGATTTGTATATTTTTATTCCTTATTTACTTGTTCTATTTATTTTATTTTTTTTATTATCTGTGTTTTTTTTTTGTTCTGTCACTGTCATTCTGTTACACTGTGGAAGCTTCTGTCACGAAAACAAATTCCTCGTATGTGTAAACATACCTGGCAATAAAGCTCATTCTGATTCTGATATTTGTTAAAGTATTCGGATAAGACTTCAAACATTCATATGACTCATGTTGTAGTTAAGATCAGTTCATCAAGATTAGTTCAACTCATCAACAGTTTATATTAAAATAATATTTTATTTAGGTATATGATTATTAATGTACTGTTATTGTAAAGTGTTACCGGATTGGTTCACCATTTGCGCTTGTTTTAATTGCCAAACATGGTCTAACTATGGGTCTGAAGTCTGATGACTAAAAGCTGGAATACACTTCATGACTTTCTCACAGATTTTTGCCCTGATTGGCAGTCTGGACGAGTCAGCGATAGATGCCAAAAGTCAGACCCAGGACTGCAGATTTTGGGCAGTCAGATGACAGATTTCACACAAAATTCCATCGTGCATGACGGGCACAGATTTCTTTTAGCTTCAGACAATGATTCAATACAGTCTGAGGATATCAAGCATGTTTGATATTATGAGCTGATTTAAGAACAGATACTGATTTCATTTGTTATGTGACTTAAAAGGGGTCATGAACTTCGAAATCAAAATTCCCTTGATCTTTTGATATATAAGAGGTCATTGTGCTATAAAAATATTCTGTACGTTTTAGAACTCAAAACTTTCTTGCTAGTCTAAAAACAGCTTATACCGAAGCCAATCTGCCAAAACGACGCGTTTTGGAATATGCCACTTTATGATGTAACTGTGTGGCTAAACACCGCCTCAAAGAAGATCAACGCCTGATTCTACATCACTGCCTGTTTAGCCCCGCCCACTCATTTGTGCACATAATAGGTAAATGACAAGAGTGTCAAATGTAGGTCTACGCAGAAACCAAACGATAAACTTTATATGATGAACTTTTTTTTTTTAATGAAGATCCAGCCCACGTCAGTTAGAAGAACTCTTTTGTTTTGTCTTTGGTTCACTTCATTTTACCGCGGATTCATTTACAAACAAAGCACAATTCGACGCAGGAGATGCTGTGCCAGCTATATTGGATCACGAGTGTGAGTAACTGTTTTCATTACATGATCACTATTGCTTTGTCTGTTAAACAGATCATTTGATATGTACTGAGAATTTAAGTATTTTCTAGGAAGGCTGTAGGCTGTATATAACATATACAACTGTTAGCCAATCATAGCAGTGTGCGTTTACTTCCGAGTAACAATCTACATTCTGCCACGCCTTTTCAAACAGAGAGTTCTGATGAGGGGGGTCAAAACAGGACAGAAGATAGCCTATTACTTCTAAATTATGATGTTTTTAATGTAAAAATCTTGATAACATTATAAGTTGGCCTTAGAGAACAGTAGAAAATAATAAAACGGCAGTTCATGACCCCTTTAAGCAATGAGGCACATTTCTGCACGAGTTTGTTGCATTTTGAATAACTTGAAAAGACTGGTAGTCTGTGATCCTCAGTTGTTTAGTGTACGATGTGTAGTTTTTCTCTATAAACACTATGCACATGTATGTGACGCCTAGTGTTTAAAAATCTGTTCCTAAAAGTCGTGTAGTGTATTCCAACCTTTAGAAAAGTGACAGCACACAATTTGATGTGTTTTTAAGTCTGTAGCACAAATGGTTTAGAATGAGTTACATGCCGAATACATGTTTAGCAAGATATTACTAGAGACAGAGCAAGTTGTTCACTGTGTTTAACACCTCAAGCTTGTCTGTGCGAACATGCTTCTGCGTTGAATTTCCGTTGCCCATGGCGATGCCGGTGGGGCTCCCCGGGACCAGCACGGGGGCGCTGTGCAGAAGCTCAGGCATGAGACTGATGCCCGGGCTCATGTGGCTCAGGTACGGGCTGAAAGCCATGCTCGGACTGTTGGCCAAGGAAGGCGTTACTGGGAACGAGGTCTGGATGAGAGACACAAAGATAACAAGGGATAATAACGCAACGTTTTCAAGCCAAGAGAAACGGTCGTGATGTTGTTGGTTATTAAAATGGGATCTCACTATGGGCTGCAGCTGAGCTCCAGGCAGCATGAACTGCATCTGCTGGGCCAGCATGGCGGCTGCGGTCTTCTGCTGGATCAGGTTGTTCCTGCCATTTATCTCCAGCTGGGTCTTGAGATGAGGCGGAGGATGCAGGTACTTACAGTTATCACGTGTACAGCGTCCCTTAGAGGGGTTGAAGAGGGAGACACAGAGAGAGACAGAGAGATGAATTACACACTGAATCTCAGCTACTAAAAGATCCAAGACTGCGTGACAGGAAGATAAGGGCTCCGTGATTGAGAGGATAAATTAAACGGGAATCCCTAGACATTCAAGCGTACCGATTCCAACTCTCCACTATAATACAAACATCCGAAACCCCATCAAATGAAAAGAAAACAGCATAATCTCAGGAGTGCTGGAAGGTCTGAATTTCAAACGATCAGAGGAAACGGCAAAACGACAGCACCGGGACACGGGCGGAAAAATTTTCACTACCTCCAAATGAATTGACAGTGACAGCCTTCTCTTTCTGTCTGTCTGTTCACATCAACAATCTGCCTGTCTGTGTGGCTGACAGATTATAGAGCCCTTGTGGCTGCTGTATATGCTCATACTACATATGGGTCGGACATATAGCATTATGTTTATCACCCAGCTGTCCGGGCAACATGTTGAACGGCGAGCAGCAGACACGGTTAAATACACACAGACAAACTCAATGAACCCATGGAGCAACGCCACTTGCTCTGCAATGCGTAAGGTAGTGTAATAACCCAATAGGGAAAGATGTCATTCCATCAGTCCAGCAGTTACATATTTCTGCTGATGGTCTGTTGATAAACCGTCTCTATTTCCCTTAACACACCTTTCTTTTGTTCCTTTAGACAATTTTATTCCTTTTTCAGGTCAAGGAGCTCTTGGGGGATAGAGAGTTTTTTTTTCCTCGTTTAAACTCTGTTTTAATGGCTAAATTAAAAAATACATATATTAATTAAAAAGCATGACTAATTAATTGAAATCATGAAACTTGCAGAATTTAACAGCAATTTATTAAAAGTTTAACAAAAATTAAATTTTTAAGGCTCAATGTAATACATTTTATTTTTTTCTCAAATTCAGGTTTATTTTTACCAAATGCTGTTTTCCATTAATTTTCTGCATTCCATTTTAACGGTTTCATTAAATTTTAATAATCAAAAGCATCTCTAATAAATTAACCAAACCGGAAACTGTGCATCGGCGCGATTCATTCACACAGAGACGCAGAACATGCAGTATCCATATTTCAATTGTATTTTTTCAGCTTAATATTCACAGAAACTAGTCCATATCAGTGACATTCCGCCTTATACACAAATTTCATTTTTATGACTGTATTCTGGGATTCCGTTTGCGTTTTCCGCCTCGCAGAAAACATAGGGCCCTACTAGGGAATGGTCACAATGGTTGATTAATCGTTTAAAATGCAAAAGTAATGTCTGCACACTGATATAACTGCTCCGTAAAAAAAAATTTTATTGCAACGTTTTGACCATCAGGTCTTCATCAGGCACAGTGCATTTTTAATTAATCGATTAGTCATCAAACTTAAAGGGTTAGTTCACCCAAAAATGAAAATTCTGTCATTAATTAATACTTTTTTGCGCACAAAAAGTATTCTCGTAGCGTCGTAAAATTGTGGTTGAACCCCTGATGTCACATGGACTATTTTACCGATGTCCTTGCTACATTTCTGTGCGTTGATCGTGGTAATATCATTGCCGTCTATGAGAGGGTCAGAGAGCTCTCAGATTCCATCAAAATAACTTAATTTGTGTTCCGAAGATGAACGAAGGTCTTGCGAGTTTGAAACGACATGAGGGTGATCAATTAATGACAATTTTCATTTTTGGGTGAACTATCCCTTTAAAGCTTAAATGATCTAGACTGGTTTTAATAGTTAAATAGTTTAATAAGTACAGGGATTAGGAAAAGTCAGTCACTGATGACATCTGCTAAAAAAGAACGGTGACAGTTTGAGAGTTAGAGTGAGATATATTTTGATAAAAATGACAAACAAATGATTTTGATAGATTAATCACACACATTCTTTCTTAAAGGGACAGTGCATGCAAAAATAAAAATTCTATCATCATTTAGTCTCCTTAATGTTTTTCTTTATGAACACGAAGGACATGACCTGCTTCTCTTTTATACTCAATGATAATGAATGGTGTCCAAGGTAATAAAGCAAGATTTATATTCAGGTCTATCTTTTAGTCTGCTCCACACAGAAAGCTATCATACGGAATAGAGTGTGCAAGTTATGTAGACTACTTATATGGTAATTCATTTTGGGGCTTGACAGCTCGTCCACATTCACTTTGACTGCATTGAAAGAGCCGCTTGGACTCTGCTAAACATCTCCTTTTGTGTTTTACAAAAGCAATAAAATCTTACAGGTTTGAAATTACATGAAGGTGAATAAATGATGGCAAAACGTTAGTTTCATTTAACATTAAAGGGGTCATATGATGCGATTTCAATTTTTCCTTTCTCTTTGGAGTGTTACAAGCTCTTGGTGCATAAAGAAGACGTCGTAACATTTCCGTCACACGCTTGAGGTATTCGACCAATTACAACGCACTGGATAGCAGGCCAATCACAGCACACCTAGCTTTTTTAGAACGATGAGCTTTGTAAAAATCGACGCGTTTCAGAAAGGCGGGGCATATAGGAGAAACAATAATGTACAGTATGTGGAAAATAATGTGTTTTTTTAACCTTAAACCGCATAAACACATTTCATTACACCAAATACACAAAATAATGTTCTTTTTAGCAGCATCATATGACCCCTTTAAGAATGAAAAAACAGATTTAATGTAGACAATTTATTCTAAAAGAAGATTTGTACTCCTTATGCAACTCTTCAGTGCTCACAAAAAACTGCACTGAATGTCTTCCTTTAATGCAATTATATATTTGAGGGAGGAAGAGCTAAAACACATCTAAATGCTTCACACTGCTCTTGTAGACGTCATCTGCCTGATTGCCTGGAGAGTTACGACTATCTGCGTCAGCAAGCATGCAAAAGCAACAATGACTTGGATTTGCTGTTAAAACTTCTCATTCTTTTTTTGGGGGGTTGGATAATTTTTACTTATGTCATTGCAGCTTTAATGGGTTGTTGGGCTCACAAACCGAATTGAGCTGCTTATCAAGGAGGGCATGGTTCCAACAGAATGGAATCCCAACGCATTCCAAATGGAATTTGCGGAAACACTAAATCCCAGTGGCATCTGTGCAATGCTAACTGTTCAGACGGAATGTCAAAGTGTCACTCCATATGACTCAGATCTGTAAACTCCATATGACTCAGATCTGTACTGTCCACCAGCTACAGCAATTTAAACACTTGCCTGTGTCTTCAGCAGCCTCAGGGCAGCTTTTAACAGTGATGAAGTCCTAACAAAATTTGAAGTGAGCGAGTGTGGGGGTGGTCTCCTTGCTGACCAGTGTGATGTGGTGCACTTAATGGAGATGAAAGTGGGTGTCTGGAGTGTCAGCATGCAGGGACAGTGTGATCAATGTGTGCTGTCGAGGACTTGGAGATGGTCCACCATACAACTGCTGCATCATTCAATGCAACTCCCACACATGCAGCTCCATACGTCACCTAGTCACACATAGCCAGACCTTTGACTAAATGGCATAAAGTCTGGTCCACACTGCAGCCGGTTCTGGCCAAGAACTGCCTAATAAAGCGGGCAGAGTTGGAGCGTTTCTCTATGATAAAGATTACATTTACTGCAAACACTGTGATAGTGTTTTTTAAGTACAACATGACAATAAGCAATGTTCATCCGTCTCCCAGCATCATCCCATCTGAGAATCTGAAAATCTCACCTCACCTCATCTCATTTTATGCACTGGATCCACACCGTTTGGTATCATTTAACTTCAATTTAAAGTCTAATGTCCAAACATTTGAATATTGTATATACACAAACTTTGTTGTTAAATGTATTAAATAATTATTTAATCAAACTAAATGCATACTAAACTTAGTTTAAATGTAGCAAAATATAGTGGATTGCAATTAATTTGTAATTATATGCTACATTTCAAAAGCTACATTTTTTTTTTTTTACATTTTTTAATACATCTTATATATGCTCACCAAGGATGTGTTTATTTAAAATAGAGTAAAATCAGTAATGTTGTTAAATATTATCACAATTTATAGAACTGTTTTCTGGTTTAATATATTGTAAAATATTATTTATTCCTGTGATGGCAAAGCTGAATTTGTAGTAGTCATTACTCCAGTTTTCAGTAGGGATGCACCGAAATGAAAATTCTTGACTGAAGCCGAAACCGAACAAAACGAAACACTGGGTCGAAGGCCGAATACCAAACACATTTTTTTTTGCATTTTCCCCCCATGTATTATGGCAATTTTTTCACCACTGCATAAAATAAATAGCCAAAATGAGCTTTTTACTGTTTTGTCTTGCTTTTCAAAGAAAAAATAAATTACAAAACAACAGTTTAAAAATATTTACTTAACACTGAACATTTTTTAACATTCTAGCAAACATTATACCAACAAAGCACAATTTAACTTAAAATTAAGTTTCTTAAGCCATTTCTGAGACCCCCTTCTTGAATAAGGCATGTATTTGTACTGTACAAATAAAAGCAGCACTGCTGAGCAGAAGAGACTAATTTTAAAAACATTGGAAAATATTACAGATCCCAATTTGAACACTTTGTGAATGTTATAATAAATGTGTTAATAGAGCTGTTATAAGTACTATTATCATTATTATTGTTTTATTTTCTTATTTTATTTTACAGAATAGTAAAATTACAATACTAACATTTATTAATGTTGATGGACTTCTTGCTTTTTCTCAGCTTTTATTTTTACGGAAACCCACCGGAAGACCTTAGTGCATCTTTATAAATGATTCTCAATACAAATTTGGGAAGATGTTTGTCGCATGTATCGCATTGTTACATGCCTTGTAAAAATTCATAAAAAATTCATAAAAATGTTACTGAGCAATTAACAAGTAACACTGTTTCAGCACAGATTTTCCTCATGCATTGTTTATTTAACCCTGGCTAACGAGTTCGTGCAAATTTGTGCGTGTATTAGAAAACATAACATTCTGCAGTTTATTAATTGTTTA